GATTTTATTTGATACCACAAGCAGGGGGAGTGGTGGAGGGAAAAGGAGAAGCAGAATCCCCGCTGAGCAGAGAGCCCAACGTGGGGCTCAATCTCAGGACCCTGAGATCATGATCTGAGCTGAAAGCAGTTGGTTAGCTGACTGAGCCGCCCAGGTGTCCCCATTAAAGGGTTTCAAAGGACACAATCTGTTTATCTGTTTCCAAAAACTGATGCTGGTCTGGTCTGTGTGGAATGGATTTTAGGGAGGCATGGGTGGAATTAGGGACAGCAGGTGGGAGAAGGAGAAGTCCAGGTGAGATAGAAACTGAGGTGTGGCTGCCATTTCAGATGGACCAAGTAGACACGGGCTGTAAGCGCAGCTGAGCGCGGTCTGCAAACAGTGACGGGAAGTGGGCACATTTCATGATAGCGATCTAGAAGGGTTTGTTTCAGTACTCTCATAATTAACACAGTTATTAAAGTAGTATCAAAATTCTTATTTTGGAGAGTTGTGCCTATGAAATACGACCTACAACACTGAGAGTGAAAAATCTTGAGTTACGTAGATTTTCCTTTAAAGATTTTATTTATGTGAGAAAGAGAGCACATGCCTGTGAGCAGGGGGATACAGAGGGAGAGATAATCCCAAACAGACTCCCCGGAGAGCTTGGAGCCTGATGCCGGGCTTGGTCTCACGACCCTGAGGTCTCGACCTGAGCTGAAACCAAGAGTCAGACGCTTAACCGACTGTGCCAAGACTGTGCCACCCAGGGCACCCCTGAGTTTAAATAAATTTTTTTTTAAAGATTTTATTTATTTATTTGACAGACAGAGATCACAAGTAGGCAGAGAAACAGGCAGAGAGAGAGGGGGAAGCAGGCTCCATGCCGAGCAGAGCCTGATGCGGGGCTCGATCCCAGGACCCTGAGATCATGACCCGAGCTGAAGGCAGAGGCTTTAACCCACTGAGCCACCCAGGCGCCCTTAAATAAATTTTTAAACATAACTTAAATGTGTCAGGATGTCAGCTCATCTCTAAGTACACACGGTGTCGTCTCAGGTAAAATTGGGATTTCCTCACAGTCCGACACCATTTCCTGAGTCTTTTCTGTGTTGTGTGATACATTTATAGGCAGCTTGCACTCGGAACCTCAGTTTTCCCATCTGTGAAACAGGGTCACGTTGCATTGCAGGTGACTTTAAGGACTAAATGGCACAGTGCTCAGCATAGAGGAGAAATTTGGCAGAACCCTAGCTGCTGTTAATAACAGCTTGGAAAAACCCCTCCTTAGCATTTCTTTGATTCATAAGGAGGAGGTGAGGCAGCCTTTTGCTGGCGAGGAAGCAGAGTTCCAAGGAAAGTAATCAGGACTGCCCAGGTCACCACGTGAGCCTTTGTTAGAGGTGGAGCTAGTGCCCGTGTGGCGATGTGCTCCCGTGCCTGGTCCAAGGCTGTAGCTGGTCCCCGGACCTGAATGGGGCCCTGGCTTCCATGACTGTGCCAGAGCCGGGGGTCTCCCTGACTCTGTGCCCACCGTTACGTGCGCTCCCTCTTGTTTCTTGCCTCTGGGTTTAGGATTACTGCTTCGTTCCGTTGCTGTGTGTCAGGGCCTGTGTGTTTCCCAAAGCCAGGAGCTTCCATAAAGAGCTTGCCGACCAGGTCTGAGCTCAGAATTACTCTATGTTTTCCGGCTGTGGATTAGTTGCAAGAGACAACTTGTGGGAAACGAAAGAACTTTCTAGTACTTAAATTTTACACAGTAGTGTGGTTGTGGTTATTTCTTCCACCATTCTTTTTCTTTAGAATTTTAGACTATTGTGCCAAACGCCAAAAACAATGTCCTACTGCTAGTTTTGGTAGTATTTAATCAGGTTTTGAGCACATTCTCCTTTTTAAATACAGATGTTAAAACGTTTAATAAAGTCATCCGTTCTGGCCATAACATCTTCTTCTTCTTCTTCTTTTTTTTTTTTTTTTTTTTTTTTTTTT